TTATATGTTGAGTTTTGAAGGAATGAAAATTCAAATATTAAGAAAACATGAAAACAAGTGTATTTTTACTATAACTCAGTCAAATCTTGCTCAAATTTAATAATTAAAGTTTCTATTTGAAGCATATTTAAAAAACATGAATTTACATTAAATAATTACTGAATTCTGTACAGAATTGAGTGAGAAATAGCTATTTTTTTGTTTTGTTTACTTTTGTGACAAAAAATAATGAATCATCAAGTGTGACAATACTTATGAAAAAGACAGTAATATAATTTAAAACTTTTATTAACTCTATTTAAGTATTTTATACTAACTCTATTTTATAAATTTCTAAAACCTATTATTCTAACTTATATTTAAACCTTTTAACTAAACTTAATATTTACTAATTAAAACAATTAGTTTTAGAGAGAAAGTAATATTATAATTTATTACTTTTATATACTTAGTTTTGTTAGTTTTATAATTTTCTAACTAAATTAAAACTTTTGTCTTTTAAATATATTGTATATAAACTATATATAGAATAATTCTTATAGTAACTCTTACTACTATCTTTTTCTACTTTATTACTTTTTTCCTTTATTTACTTTTTTATTCTTTATTTATTTTAAAGTCTCTTACTCTTTATTTACTCTTTTATTCTTTGTTTACTTATTTTTAACCTTTTTATTCTTTATTCTTAGTAACTCATTATTCTCTAAGTACTCTTATATAGTTTAGTATATATATATGTATAAGATTAAACTAGTTTTATAGTTTTAATCTTATTTACTCTAAATAGTTTTATACTTTTAAACTTATTTTACTCTCTCTCTTTATTTATTTTATAAGTTCTAACTATATTCTAATACTTATATTTTATATTTCTGTTATATAGAATAGTTGTAACTTAAGTCCTTTTACTAAGCCTTTAAGTTCTCTTTGTATTATTATTAATAATAAGTAAAAAAAGAAAACTATATATATAACTTAAAATTAGAACTAAGAATGAATAGTTTAAAACTTAAAACTAGAAACTGTATATATAGTAAAAGATTGTATAAGAGAGTTCTAGAATAGAACTCTTAGAATTATAGTAAGTTATATAGTAAACTTATAATATATATAAAAATTATATTTTATACTGTATCTTACTCAAATTTCACTCATTTTTCTTTATTTTTGTTAAAGTATGAAAGATATTTTAATTTTATAATTTTAGCAACTTAAATCATACAAATTGGTTAAGTATTAGTTGAGCTATGGTGAGTTTTGTATTTTAATGTATTTAGTGTAACAAAATGTCACAAAATGCAAGTCAATTAGTAAGTAGTGATTAAAATATCACGTGTCATTTCTGTGGCATGTGAATTTCCGTCCGTCTGTCTCCCAGACCGGATGAGTGATCGTACTTGTTGTTAAAGAGCAGCAGCCATTCACACTCTTCTCTTGTTCCATTCTCTCCCCACCTTCAACATTTACCACAATGTCGTCAAGTCAAGCAAGGCAAAGAAACTTACAGAAAAATGATAATGACGTTGTCATTGTTGCCGCCTACAGGACAGCCATCACAAAGGTTCGTCAAGCAGTCGCTTGTGGTCTTGTCCAGCCTGTGATGCTCACAGTCCTACATCTGCAGGCGCGCAAGGGAGGTTTCAAGGACACTCTACCAGAGGAAATGTTGACCGCTGTATTAAAAGCCGTCTATGAAAAGGTCAAACTGGACCCAAAGCTCATTGAAGACGTTGCAGTTGGTAATGTGCTCCCGCCTGGTGGAGGTGCAAGCGCTGCACGTATGGCTGCACTCGCTGCTGGCATTCCCAACAGTACTGCTGTCAATACTGTCAACAGACAGTGTTCCTCCGGATTGACTTCCGTCAATCAAATTGCAATGGAGATTGCAACGGGTGAAATTGACATCGGTATCGGTGAGTTGCACATTCAGTAGAAACCTCATTTTCACCCCGCCTTCTGTTGTTCTTTGTTATAAAGACTCCATACCATGTTTTATGACGGTTTTCTTTGGCTGTCAGTGCGTTCCTTGCTGCATGCTAACCAACGCCACTTCAGGTGCTGGTGTCGAGTCGATGACGCACGGATATGGTCCAGGAGCACAGCCTGCCAGTTTCTCTGAGAAAGTCCTTGCAAACCAAGAAGCTGAGGACTGTCTTATCCCTATGGGTATCACGTCTGAGAATGTCGCGAAAGACTTCAAAATTTCCCGCGAGGTACAAGACAACTTTGCTGCAGGTTCCTTCCAGCGAGCGGCAGCGGCTCAGAAAGCGGGCAAGTTTGTTGGCGAGATTATTCCGGTTACTGTGAAGCAGGTCGACCCGAAGACAGAGCAGGAACGCGAGATAGTTGTGGATTCGGATGATGGTATTCGGGATGGCGTCACCGCCGAGAGCCTTGCAAAGCTCAAAGCCGCCTTTTCGAAGCACGGTTCGACACACGCTGGCAACGCGTCGCAAGTGTCCGATGGTGCCGCTGCTGTACTTCTTGCACGTCGATCTGTAGCGAGGCGTCTTGGTCTACCTATCCTTGGAAAGTTTGTCACCGCCGCCGTTGTCGGCGTCCCACCTCGGATTATGGGCGTCGGCCCAGCATTTGCGATCCCGAAGGTGCTATCGAAAACGGGCCTCACGAAGGATGACGTCGATTTTTATGAAATAAACGAGGCTTTTGCTAGCCAGGCTGTATTCTCTATCCAACATATTGGCATTCCCTTTGAGAAGGTCAACCCTCGTGGAGGCGCTATTGCCATTGGCCATCCGTTGGGCTGCAGTACGTCCCTTTTGCCTTTTCCTCACCTTTTGTCATAATGTCGCTTATGTCTTTAAACCCCTATAGCTGGTTCACGTCAAATTGCCACTGCTTACCCTATTGCTAAGGAGACTGGCGCAAAGATTTTTGTCACAAGCATGTGTATTGGCTCAGGGATGGGAATGGCTGCAGTTTTCACTAACGAACAGTAGTTCGGTTTTATTTCCACATGGCTGCATTACACATTTTTCTTGTACATGTACCTGCATCCATTCGTACTATTGTCTTGATAATGAAAGTATGATCCTTCATCGTCTGTTGCGGCTTTCGCTCTGTGCTGCCTTTGGCCCAGCAACTGCGCCTCGCTTGATTTCGTCCTCATCTAGCCCTGCTTCTGCAAGGATATTCTCTACTTCTTCTAAAACTGGCTTATATTCAACTGTAAATGGATATTGGTCAGTAAGGAACAAACTTTTTATCCAAAGACAGTCGGCATGTAATGAGAACAATTGGTGTGACGTACCGTATCGTTCTTGAGCAAGCGTGAACCCATCTCTCCGGAGCAGTTTGCCACGATTATCACTCGAACTGTGCGCTTTACCAGCCCAATATTCACCTATCGCACCGGAGACAGCAAGTGTATCCTTAGCTACAACGAAATTGAAGACAAGGAAAGATAAACGTACGCGAACGAGCATAGAACATTGCAAGCGTTTCTCCGGGTCGAGGAGTACTCATCACGTCCTCTGCGGAACGGGCGGCTGCTGCAACTGAGTCTGTTCCGAAGAGTGCCCGTGAACGATTGCGTAGATCTGACTGTAAACAACGTCAGGCTTAAAGTTCGTTTCAAGGAAATACAGTGCGACGCACCTCTGGTTCTGCGTCGTCGACATCATTCTCTAGCCTGTCGACCTCCACTTGTTTCTGTGGTTTGACTTTGCTTTTACGTGTTGCGACATGCTCGACGTCGCTGACCACACCAGCTAGACCTTTACTCGCTGGATCCACCTGCTCGTCATCTCTGCCATCACCAATCTCATCTTCACTTTCTTCACCATCGACGGTATCTTCATCTTCTCCATCTTCGTCTTCATCACTGTCACCACTACTTTCCAGTACATCACCCTCCTTCGGAAGCTCGAAGCCACATGGCTTAAGGCACGTAAACCGATCCAGTCGATCAAGTGGTAACGCATAGAAATCGTCTAGAGTGTACTCTCGGGGACCCATCTCGAGGATTCCTCCATATCTAGTTTCACAAACGGAAAACAAGTCAGAAAAAGATAAGAATATTGATGCAGATATTAATTCAGGGAAACGGAACGGACATGTAGAGTATGTTGCGCAGGACAGTGAGCATTGCGTTGTATCTCCCACGTGGAACAGTGAGGAGTGGATCATCGGGATCAGTGTCTACGTCCGCAGTATTCTGCAAGTTTTTTAATTTATCTGACGTCGCCATTTGCTTGTTATTGTCCTGGTCGAAGAAACCTCAGCATAAACGTTCAATGCCCACGAGATTTAAACACTTACCATGTCCACACCGTCTCGCCTATCCTCGTCGTTTAGTTTATCCTTTTCTCCATCAGAGTCTTCTTCTTCATTTTCATCTTCGTCTTGGCGTGTTTCTAGCACTCGCGCGGTCAGTTTCGACACTTTTTTACTACCCGATTTATTCTTTCCCGTTTTCTTCGGCTTCCGCAACGTCAGCGATACCCATCTCCCGTTCCCAGTAAGTTGATAACCAAACCTACCGCATCGTTCATACGTTAATCATTGGTAATCGTTTTCTTGGAGAAGCAAATGGAAGAGACACGTACAAATCATTATGATAAACAGATTCAAGTGTCTCTTCATTCGTATCCTCATCCGTCACTCCACCAAATAAAATCCCCATACTCCGCGTTGCCCACATGGCCATCGTACAGCCTACACGTCGACCCGGTGCATAACCCATCTTCTTTCTTCGCTCCCACTTGACAGTGAACAGATGTGCTGGACCTTTAGTAGAGGTGGATTTACTACTAGATTTTTGTGGAAGAGCGGACAAAGACTCGTTCGCTTCGATTGGTGTTATCCTTCATATGAATTATATTAGTCTATTCTAGTCATGATAACGGGATATAAGGCATACTTGAGAATCCACGCATCATCGAGCATGATACCAACAGGCCGTTTTCCCTTTGCATATTCTTTGCAATAACCACCTATTTTTTCCTTATGTCAAGAGACACTGTCGAATCCAAACTGCGGGAGAACCTCACCATATAACACGATCCCTTCAGCTGTCGGTAGGAACGAGAATCCACTTCTCGGGCTTCATGGACAACGTCACGATTCGTTAAGTAGATCATGAGCTCTCAGCACAAAACGAAAATACATACGATGGCTTTCTGTCTCCTTCACGAAACTCAATCTGCTTCCAGTGATACTCTTGCGTGTCGAAGTACCACAAATCGTCGAGATAGTTCGCTATTATAACATATGAACAAAAGGCAGTTCGGAAACAGAGAGAGATAACAGACTTCGAACGCCAGGATCATAAAAACCACCAAATAAGAAAATGTAGTGTTTCCACATTGCCATTCTACCCGCAAAAATCATTAGTTTTTACGAAGAACAATAAAGGAAATGAAAAGGCATTCACACCTGCATCCACTTCGTGCACTTGGTCGAATTTTTGTGTCGATGCGATCCCAGGAATGAGTACCGACGTCGAAACACCAAAAATCGCGGTAGTGATGAAAAGAATTCTGGTATAATGAAGAGAACTCTCCGCCTATAGACCCGAAGATGACCAATTATTATGTCTTATTGGAGAGACAGTCCTTCGAACAAGAAGACTACTTACCAAACAAGAATAACTTCCCTCCGGCTGCTGGTGAGGCAATTACCGCATGGGCAGATCGTGGGCCAGGACAGACTCGTGATACAAATTTTCTCCATTCGTTCTGTTTATCCATTGCGTTAATAACTCTGGTATAGCTCGTTTTTTCTCATGTGGAAAGGACAAACCTTTTCTGGTGTGTATCGATAGACGTCATTGTAAAAATACTTGAAGGCAATGAATGCACTTCAGCATATACAAAGAATCAAATAAAAATAGGTAAAGTACTTACAGCTTTTCCATCATCACTAAAGTATTCACCGCCGATGCACCACAGATAATTTCCAGACGGACAAGCAGTCAAAGTCGCATTAGCTCGTCGACTTGGTGGTCCCTCGACGACCTCTTCCGTCACCGCATGCGTTTCTTCCCATTCCTTTCGCATCTACTGAGAAAGAAATGGCGGTCGGTTAGTTGTGAAGAAATAATTACAAGGCATTATTGATATAGTCGTGGAAAGCATACCAACATTCTCAAGTATTGCCTCGAGATCGTCCTCATCTGCAGCAGCACCATCCTTCTTCGACTTTCCTGCCTTCTTGACCTCCTTACGTTCGATTTTTTGTGCTGCCTTGGCTTTCTTCGCTGCCTTGGCTGCTGCTTTACCGGTTTCTGCAGCCTTCTTCTTTGCCATGGGGGATAAATCTAGCACAAGAGCCAAAATCTTTTTGTAGCACGGTAGTACTAGTACTAGTACTATGTAAGTAGTGACTGGCAAATTGTAATGCTGAATGCTGAATGCTGAATGCTGATCGGCTAGTGTACCCGAGGAATCCCATTTGGGCATGTGGGAAACGTAGATACCCACATGCCGATTTTCCAAGGCCTGTTGGCCTTGGTTAACTACATGTGGGTAATGTGGGTATCTGTTTTTAGTATGCGGCGATCATGTATTAGTTCAGCAATGTACTTTAAGGGTAATATAGTGCATATGTGCACTATTTACAGGTCAAAGCGTGAATAAAACAAAATAACAGAATATATTGAAACGATCGGCATCACGCTAAGAACCGTACATCACATGCAGACGATCACGGCGATCAATTCCGAACACCCACGTGACTCATAGAAGCCTACTCCGAGAACACCCAACTATTCCGCATTGCAAGCATTCGCAAACGGAACCGCAAGAGTGCGCAGTTTCGGAATTGGCTTACACACATTGTTTTCTCCACGGGATGTACGGATCACGTGCTTATCACGGGCTCAGAACACAAGTTGCGTCACGGCGAGTGGCTCAGCAAACCATTACGTCATCATCGCCCGGATCAAAGTACTGCAATCTTCCAATCAGATAGGACATTGGGGCGATCAAAGTGTTGATCTCAGGAGACCACCGGAAATCTCGGAACTCTCTGCACTTTGTCTGTACCGATCAGATGATAACAGCATGAGAACCTTCTATTTCTTTCGATGTAAATCTTGCTTTTCCCTTTTGCATAACATTTCCTGTGGCTAGAATGCAGACCACTTAAATTTTCCTCATGCATTTTCACCCTATTTTCTTCCAACCTCTGGCAAAAGGTTCTCTTATTTGTTCTTGTATATTTCGTTATTTTTCTTTTGTTCAGTCATGACACTTCCCCGTTAGTACTACGCTTTTCCGGAACTCAGAAAACTATAAATACAGCTACTCATGTACTAGATACAGGGGGAATTCAGATAGTTCACCCATCGATTTAGCTCTCGTCTCTTGTCTCGAAGTCCTCTAGTGTGAGGCATAGTTTTAGTCTTCATCATCTTCCGTATCAGATCGTTTGTTGTGCACTTTGCAAAGTACACTTTCTGTTATTCACATCACTCTTCCAAGGTCGCAACCGTGCCAGAAGAACTCACACCTGTTCAGAACCACTCTAGTCTCCTAAGACTCGTGGTTTAGCTCCCCCTCGAACTTAACGAATCACCTGTGATCTTCTCTTAGACACTTCACAGGAGTTTCATCTGGAGCCCACTGTGAGGGGGGTTTCCATAGTTAAACAACACGAGTTCCAACAGTTCTCAGCATCCCAAACAGGTTTCTCGGACACCAGCCTGTGGGCTTAGGTCAACTCAGTCACAGTCAGCACCAGTACCCGTATTGAGCAGAACACGCCAATCTGCTAGAATCCAATCGTGCTGCAAAACGTCCGATAGTCCAAACACCAGAAGTACAGAATCCGATATTGTAGAAACCTTAGGAACACCATCGGAACAGCAGAGCGCTCGAGTCAGTAACAAAGAGGAGGAAGAAGAAGACCTTGTAGCAACATCACTCAATCCCCAAGTAATCAATTTCCGAATTCGCAACGAACTGCCGCATTTCACGTCCCTGGAATTGCGTACAGGATTGCTAGCTACCCTGCGACCTTCCCAAATCACATCAACATTGCAACCGACTGTAACCAGCACGCCACATTGCAGAAGAGCACAGTCGTCTCCACAGGAAACAGAGACAGTCCAGCAGCCAGTATCTTTACTCGTACCAGCAACCAGTGTATTGTTAGCAACACAGCTCCAATTACAGCAACAGTAACTTGCAAGTGACGCGTGACTACTTCAGCAACTACAAGTAAACGCACAAATTCTATTGCAACCAAGACTGGCAGTGCAGCCAATGGCCACATTGAACGTTCCAAAGCTGCCTCATTGTAGAGCACGTGATGCACTGTCCTTCGACAGAACCAAGCCCTGAGAATTGCAGAGGTATTTTGCAGACGTGGAAAGTCTTGCAAACGAATGCAACATAGCCGGAGCAGATATCATTCTGCTTGCAATGAAGTACGTGCCTGTAGAAGTGGAGGATTTGTGGGATAATGCAGATAAAACGTCTTGGGATACATTTAAGACAGGAGTAATTGCGTATTACCCGAGTCTCAAGACAGAAGCACAATATGCCAGAAGTGACTTGGATGCTGTAGTACAGAAATGGGCAGAGAGAGGAATTACAAATAGGGACAATTTGGGAATGTACCACTGAGAGTTTACACTCATAGCAACCTATTTGACGACTAACAATAAGCTGTCACTGGAGGAATCTCGCCGCGTTTTTCTGCACGTGTTCTGTGGAGCAATCACAGAAAAACTGACACAGAAGTTAGAAATCAAGTATTCAGACCATGAGGACAGACTTGTGTACAATATTGCACAAGTTGTAGCTGCAGCAGGGTCGATCCTCAGGGGATCTACACTCACAGCAGTTAGTGGATCGGATACGCTTGCAAGTCAGCCTGTGATTCCAGTCAAACAGGAAGAAGTTAATTTGACAAGCGTTGTGGAAGTGCTTCAGAGTCTGCAATTGTAAGTAGAGTCAATGAAGCAAGGCCCAAGATCAGGAGGAGGAGGATACGGTGGAGGTTCAGGCAGAGGATCAGGAAACGGAAGTTGCACGTTTTGTAGAGAATCTGGACATTTTATACACAGTTGCTCAAAAGCGTCAGAATACATCACAAACAGGAAGTGCATGCAGAGCCCAGACAATAAAATTATCATGGCCAACAGAAACACCATTTCTGGGATAGGGCAGACCTTGAAGGAAAAGGTTGATAGCCACTTTCTGTCGTCACAAATGCACTCTGTTAGTTTTGTAGAGGCTGCACCAGTCATAGCACACAGTCCAGGAGCTCCTGTACCAGTTACAATGGTAGAGGTTGATGAAGAAGAAGAGGAGGAGGTGGAGAACCTTGCAGAGCTCGAAAGGCTTGAAGTAATACTTGGAGAAGCCTACAAGAAGGTCACAGAACAATTGAAAGCAAAGGATGCAAAGGGGAAGGGAAAGCAAGGGTGTGATTACAAAGTAGTGAAACCTGCAGATATCGGACCAGCACCAGTGAGTACGCACTGAGACGCAACTGGGACAAAGGAGTACCCATACCACTACATTGTACCAATTGAGGACCTGGAAATAGCTGGAAGAGTTTTAGATTGCAGCTTGGACCAGGAAGTGCATATTACACAGTAGGAGTTGCTTGCATTGTCTCCAGAACTTCGGAAGAAGACTTGCAAATTAGTAACGTTGAGGCACTGAACGGATGGAAACACTGTGTTCTACAGTAGAGAACTGCCTGTTGCAGGATCAAACAATAGTAGGCTACAGCAGTATCACAACACGTTGGCAGAAGTTAACCATTTGCTTCCACTCCATACGCTTGAGACAATAGTAGACAGAAAAATTGAGGTAGATTGTGTGCTGGACCAGGGATCAAGTATAAACATAGTTCGAGCTGATGTATGGGAAGCATTAAAGATTCTGTTGGATTGCAATATGGCTGTTACACTTGAAACAGCAGACGCTGGTCAGGGATCGACCATAGGACAGATTCCGAGGTTGCAACTCTCCATGGGAATGCTTCACATAGATATCACAGCACAAGTTGTGTAGAAAGCTCTGTTCAGGATCTTGCTAGGTAGACTGTTCTTTGCAACTACAGAATGTGAAACTAAAGATTTTACGAATGGGGAGCAGCACATAACACTTCGGGACCCGAATGATCTGTCAAGGAGGTAGTCTCTGTCCACCAGAGTGAGGGCACTGTAATACGAGCTGGAGACAGATTTTTGAGAAGTGTCAAGGAACCAGAAACGCCACAATTCTGGGGAGATGCACATATGGCAAGCAGATTAGGAACGAACAAGCAGAAGAGTAATAGTAAGGCAATGATTCTATACAGAGGAAGAGACAAAGGAAATAGAGTAAATGTGAGAAAGGATTACAGTCAGGGATCACGAGTCACAAAATCATGGATGATAGAGGCAGCAGAGTCATGGAAGTCAGTAATTCTCGATGCACCAGATAACAAACTCAACACAGTTTTGTGGGCTTACAAGAAAGTCGTGAATAAGGTGTGCCCCATACCCAGAGTGCTTCTGGAGGAGTTCTGCATAGTCAGACGACGGCACCCCAATCCTCTAGCCAGAATACCTATATTACTGACAATACTACAGCCCTTTGTGCCTACTGGCTGACTTACAGAAGAGCAGATGTGAGCAATTAGAGAATTGCGATCAGGATTCCTATGGCCAGAAGAATGGAAACTCGCAGAAAACCTATTAATGCTACAGTCAGAAGTGTTTGCGTGGACAGAAGAGGAGTGAGGAACATTGGACCCTACATACTTTGATCCTATTCGAATTCCGACTGTAGAGCATGTACCATGGGTAGAGAAAAGTATTCCGATCACACGTGGAATTGAGAAGAGGGTGATTGAGTTGTTGAAGGAGAAGTTGTGTAACAGAGTGATAGAACTGTTGAATTCCTCCTATCAATTACAATGGTTTTGCATCACAAAGAAAGACAGAGTATCCTTACAATTTATTATTGATTTGCAGAGGTTAAACACAGTTACAATAAAGGACACAGCTGTTCCGCCGAACATGGAACTAATCGCGGAAAGCTGCGGAGGTCGTGTATGCTATACACAACTTGATTTGCATATCACGTTTGATCAGAGGAGTTTGGATGAGCGGTCTAGAGATCTGACAACGTTCCAGACGCCTCTAGGGACATTTCGCTTGACAGTATTGCTAATGGGTTACACCAACTCAGTACAGATTCTGCATAATGACTTAGTGTTCATTCTTTGCAACAAGATTCTGGATGTCACAAACCCATACACAGACAACATTCTGGTAATTGGACCCCACTTGAGATATGAGACAGCAGACGGAACGGAGGAAACGCTTCCTAAGAACAAGGGAATACAGAAGTTTGTATACAAGCATCTGATGGATGTAAACCGGATTTTGCAGAGAGTGAAAGCTGTAGGAGGGACGTTTTCTGGAAAGAAGATGACACTTTGCAACGAATCCGCAATATTCGTTAGGCATAAGCTGACGTATTTGGGGAGAGAGGCTGAAGAATCACAAATACAGAAGGTTAGGGATTGGCTGCCTTGTGAGAGTGTTACAGAAGTACAGGGATTCCTTGGAACAGTAGGAGTGCTTTGCATTTTTATTCAGAATTACACAAAGTTAGTGTGACCACTCAATTGACTCACACAAAAGAACTTGATATTCAATTGGAATGACAAGGCACAGAAATCTATGGACACACTCAAGGAAGCAGTTTTACATTGCCCTGTACTAACACCAATTGACTATGAGTCAGAGTATCCAGTAGTCTTGGCAGTAGATTCGTCTATCATTAGAGTAGGATAGTATATTGGTCAGGAGCACCCAGATTGCAAACAGAGAATAAATTGATTCGGATCAATTAACTGGAACGCAACACAAGCACAATATTTGCAAGCAAAAATAGAGCTCTTTGGACTTTATTGCACACTTCATGCATCACACATATATCTTATAGGCGTCAAGAAATTAATTGTGGAAATGGACGCTTCATATGTAAAGGGAATGATCAATAAGCCTGACCTACAGTCTAATGCTACGATCAATCACTGGATAGCCAGTATTTTGCTATTTGATTTCGAGTTCCGCCACATTCCTGCATCAGACTTCAAGTGTACAGACAGATTATTGCAACACCAAGCAGCACCCAAAGACCCCCCAGACAACGACACCTATGAAGACTGGATTGACGAGTCATACAGATTTTACACAGTGGAAATAGAATCTATGCAACACAGACATCAGCCAGAAACTCGCAGGGCTACAGAACACAAAGCCTTGTTAGTCAAGTGCATAGAAACACAGTCCCGGGTTTCAGATGCAATGTGCTGGGAGACACACAATGACATTATTGACGAATCATTTCAAGTAAACAAGGACGTGCCACAGGCAACACGTTCCGGCAGACTGTAACGTAGATTATTCCTGGAAGTTGTTATTCCGAAACGGAACTGGAATTGGATACATTGAGATAAACCAGAACAACCTGATCTGGAACGTGGAAGAGTGGAAGGTGTAGCAGACAAAGGAGTACATGAGCAGGAACCTGGAGGAGAGTCTTGCGGAGTCGTGGGAACCAAGGAGGTAGAGGGAGCGGATGACAAAGCAGAGGGTGACGATCTAGAGCTGATAGGGGTTGTGCACAGTATCTGCAGTAATGAGGCTGAGGGTTTGGACACAACAGCAGAACGATTTCCACAATCACCAACCACTGAAAGGCAAGAAGCAAGACTGAAGGCTGTGAAAGAGTATCTTGGCTTGCTCTGCAAACCAAGCAGAATCACAGATGCTGATTTTCTGACATTTATACAATACACAGCACAGTTCTTTGTACAGAACGATAAGATCTAGCGTTAAGGTCCTAAAGGAAAGCATCAGATTGTGCCAGATAAGGACAGGAGATGGGAGTTGGTTAGGATAGCACACGAAGACTTAGGACACAAGGGAATCTTTGCAGTACAAGCCTGTTTACTGGATCGGTTCTGGTGGCTATCTCTTGCAGAAGATGTTAAGTACTTCATTAGGACTTGTCATGCATGTCAGACTCGGCAGATGCAACAAGTGCTGATTCCACCAAGTATTCCAGAGATTGCACTGCTTTTCCAAAAGATCCACATAGATATGAAGGTTATGCTGAAAGCAGGAAGATTCTAATATATTGTGCACACACACTGTTTGTTATCAGGGTATCCGGAGTTTCGCATGCTTTGTGCAGAGAACAGAAGGACAATAGGACAGTTCATCTTTGAAGAGCTTCTATGCTGATACAGGGCATGTCCCAAGCTCGTGACGGACAATGGAACGCCTTACATTACAGTGCTGGACTATTTGCAAGAACAGTACCACATCAATCATATTCGGATTTCTGCATATAACTCCCACACAAACGGAATTATTGAGCAGAAACACTTGGACGTACAGGAAGCAATCGTAAAGACAGTAGGAGACAATATTGGACATTAGTATAAGTACACACATTCTGTGTTCTGGGCAGAGCGGATTACAATTCAGAAAGCGACTGGATATTCTCCTTATTACCTTGTTCATGGAGTAGAGCCGATATTACTGTTTGACCTGAACGAGGCAACATATTTGGTTCCACCCAAAGGATCGCTACTAACAACAGAGGAACTGGTAGTGATACAAGCACAATAATTGCAGAAGAGACCAGACAACCTTACACAAATGATGGAATGCGTTCGGAACGCCCACAAAAGATACACAAAGCATTTCACAGAAGTCAATCGTAATCGGATCAAGGACTACAACTTTGCTCCAGGTGCACTAGTGCTAATCCGCAATTCAAAAGTGAGCAACAACTTAGGACAAAAGATGAAACTGCAATACCTCGGACTGTTCGTAGTAGTGCAAAGAACGAAAGGAAACGCTTATGTTGTAGCGGAATTGGACAGAGCAGTGGCCAAGTTATGTATCACAGCATTTTGCCTAATTCCGTATTTTCTGCATTCACATTTAACAGTTCCTATCTTGTGTCTCATTGAGGCTGCGGAACTAACGCTGGAAGATGCAGAACCACACAGGACTAGTTGCAAGGATACGGATGATCTATGTAGAGGTGGAGATTCCAGTCTCTGGCAAGGAAACATGCACGAAAAACCAGAAGGTTGTGGTGGAGTCTTCAAGCAAGGAGGACAAGGATATCCCTCCGGATTGGGCAGAGGGAATGGTCTTCCACACGCCTGAGTGTGTGAAGTGTGCAGAGAGGCACAAGGGTCCTCAGGGATCCACTTGCCAGACTGTGATGGATTGGCTGTGCTACAGTAATCTGAGTAAGTCCGTTTCAATCTTATTTTTGACTGTGTCAATAGTGATCGTTCGCATAGAAAACCAGTGCACAGCATGCATATTCCGCCACTCTGGATGTAGCCTGAAGGGAATCTGGTGTAAGACTAGGGGGCAAACTGCGGAATTGCACAGTACAACTTGGAACCTACGTTCTGTCATCCCTCCAATCACACGTAGTGAAGCCAGAACAGTCTGCAACCTCCACTCACAGATGACCAAGGAGCTGAACAACCTGGAGTTGCAGCTGATGATGATGAAGAACGAGTTTGATGCAAAGATCATGGCTCTGAGGTGGGGTATCAACTTCTTAGCCATGGCAGCAGAAGCCTCTGTAGATAGTGGGGTGGAAGAGTTAGAGTAGGAAATAGAACAGGGTAGAAAGTAGAGAAATAAAAGTCCAGTTTTGTTTTTATGAAAAAAAACCGGAAACGTAAGGAATAAATGGAATGGAATGGAAATGGATGGAATGGATAGGAAAATAGATAAAATAGAGAGTTAAGAGGAATGGAATGGATGGATGGATATTTTTATGATTTATGTATAGAACTAGTGGAATAGGATGGGAATAGGTGGAAAAGAATCATAATTTGTATAAAGGTTTATATGCTTATAGAATGTTGTATGGGCTTTTTGCAATTTATTGTAAACAAGAAGGAATGTAACAGAAGATTGAAAGTATGTGAATATAAAACGTAACGAAGCATAGGGAACTGTGGTAGAACACAGTATTTACAGATTTACACAACCGTTAGGTGTTGCTGGTAGGGAATCAATCCCTATATTTTAGTTTCCAGTACAAGACTGGGAGGGTATATTGAAAAATTGCGCATTCTCGGATCAGGAGTCTGTGACTTCTGCACTTGGTTCTACTTCAAGTGTAGCATCCGAAGCACAGTCGTCATGGTGTGCTTCTTGCTTGGGAGCACTGGTACTGGCTCTAGACAACAAAATGGAGTCAGTATACCCAGAAAATCAACTACCCCTCATCCACATTACCTTTTTCCTTGCTTTTGTCCTCTTTCTTCTTTTCTGGCTTTGTAACCACTTGAGGAACTAGGAGAAACGTCGTATTAGCTTGGCACGATTTGTTAGCCATACTTGTACTTACTGACTATGACTCGTTTCTCCTTCCCATCCCTTCTTGCATTGACCCTCTCTTTCTCCACGACTGGCTTTTTCTTTTCTGGTTTTGCAACTTCTTCAGGAACTAGGCAAAGACAACATCAGCAGTGCACGATTCGTTAGCCATACGTTTAATTCGTACCTGGCTTGTTCCCCTTTTCTACTACCACCTTCGACCTTTCTGCATTTGTGACAGCATTGGAACCTGTGTAAACGGTTAGTTATTGTGTACGATTCGTTAGCCATACTTGCACACGTACCTTTGGACCCCTCCTTTTCCTTCCTATCCTTCCGCTTTGTTGCTGACTGTGCCAAGGCTGTAGCCTTCTCCTTCTCCTTCTCCTTCTCCCTCTCCTTCTCCTTCTCCTTCTCCTTCTCCTTTCCCCTCTCCTTCTCCTTCTTTGCCTTGGCCTGAGCCTCTTCCTTAACCTTGGCCTGTGTTGCTTTCTCAGCCTCTGCCTCTGCTTTAGCCCTAGCGGCAGCTTCGTCCTCCTTTGCTTTTGTGAGCTCCTCCACTGTTGCCTTACAATCTATGAGATGTTCTGCGTCAGTAGACGGATCGGAAATCAGGAAATAGGAGACTTACTGCCAGATTGACCCTCCACTGGCACAGACAAAACCTCCTCGCCCTCCGAATCGTCATCATTGTGAGCATCATTGTCTGAGCTCTCTTCGTCTTCAGACTCAGGATCTGTGGTCGATCCGTCAGTTTCCTCCTTCACAACCTTGTCCTCTGGTTCGTTTTCCGCGTCAGAACCTGTGGAGCACATCAGCATATGAGCCAGAGACAATGTGCTTCACAGAGGTACTCACCAAGTGTACGTTCGACTAGCTCATCATCCACGTCCATTCCCTCACTGGCTACTACGTTGTTGTGTGCACAATTTCCGAGGAAAATCACAAAATCAGTATAAAAAGAGTGGAAAAGGGTGCAACACTTACTGTCGGATTTGCTGGGGAGCAGTGATGACATGGTGAGAGTGATGGAAGGAAGCAGGAAGAATAAGCAACAATGTTCACACACACACAGAACTTACATTCAGCCTGCCAATCATTAAATCAACCATGTGACTGTGGACAGTCACAAGCAGATGTGCTAGGAGATGAAACGATCGGCATCACGCTAAGAACCGTACATCACATGCAGACAATCACAGCAATCAATTCCGAACACCCACATGACTCATAGAAGCCTACTCTGAGAACACCCAACTATTCCACATTGCAAGCATTCACAAACAGAACTGCAAGAGTGCACAGTTTTGGAATTGGCTTACACACATTGTTTTCTCCACAGGATGTACAGATCACGTGCTTATCACAGGCTCAGAACACAAGTTGCGTCACAGCAAGTGGCTCAGCAAACCATTACGTCATCATTGCCCAGATCAAAGTACTGCGATCTTCCAATCAGATAGGACATTAGGGCAATCAAAGTGTTGATCTCAGGAGACTGCTGGAAATCTCGGAACTCTCCACACTTTGTCTGTACCGATCAGATGATAATGGCATAAGAACCTTCTATTTCTTTCAATGTAAATCTTGCTTTTCCCTTTTGCATAACATTTCCTGTGGCTAGAATGCAGACCACTTAAATTTTCCTCATGCATTTTCACCCTA